CTTAACAAACAGACTTGTTACAAGTTGTTCCAACAACTTGACAAGTTGTTCCAACAACTTGTTATCGTCCTGCAATTCAACAATTTGTCAACAAGTTGTGAGTAACAACCTTGTAGCAACTTGATAAAATAACAGCATTGTTACAACTTGTTGACAAGCTTGCTACACGGTTATTGCGAACACATGTTGTTGACAAGTTGTGAGATTTTTACGTGTGTAGGGGGCTAATAAGAAAAAATCATATTTCAATGAGAGAGTATGTACAATTCCTTATAATCATAATATATATCAATACCTTGCAACATCTCCCAAGCTTTCAACATATATTCGTTTAGCCCGTGACTGGCGTCCGCTCCAGGGTGAGGAAACATGCCATTAGGCATAGGAAAGAACATAGGCAACCTTCCTTCACTTTGGGCCAAGAGTAACTGCTGAATATACGGATCTGAATTGAGCATTTGTAAGTTCGGGTACCCTGCGCCACTCGGGGTCATAACTAGGTTACCAAATCCTGTTCTCATTGCATTGCTAACTGATGATTCAGTTCCAGGCCTCGAAACACTGGACGAGCGACTCGACTCGTTACTACCGTTGCCCTTGGAAACGACAACGTCATCATTATTGGGGGGAGAACGAGTTTTTGATGGCATAGATTGCCCAATTGTATTTCCTGATTCATTTCTCTTGGCTTCAGTAGTTTCGGGGTGACTAGCTGTATCAAGCCCGCGGGATTTTATTTCTGTTCTGCTCTGTTTACCATCGGCACCATTCACTTGAGGCGACACGCTCCGAGTACTACATTGAGGTGCACTTCGTGGCCGCCCGTCATCGTTGTGGGAAACCCGAAGATGTTCCGGCACGGTCCGATCATTCGACGTCTCGTTCCGACGAGGAATGCGTTCTTCTGAACGATGTTTTTCATCGCTTTGCTCATCCAAAATTCTTTTAGACTTCATGTCCATGCTTTCTCTTATACGTGGGTCATACTTTCTAGGGTCAATTCCGCGGAGATTGCCGTTGGCAGCATACAGCCGGGCGTCTATTCCTCGGTGGTCTACAAATCCAGGGTTCACGAGCCGGGGATCAAAATACCTACCCGCGCGCAAGTGTTCGTTTACTGCAGCTTCGTATCGACGTCGTTCCCTTTCCGCGATTTTCACATTGTCTTTCTCAGAACTTTGATCTCGTAAGCGCTGCTCCCGATCACGTGATTCTCGATCAAGTTCACGTGATTGCTGTCCACGTGGCTCGTGGTCATCACGTGACTGTTGCCCACGTGATTCCTGGTCCTCACGTGATTGTCCACGTGATAGCACACGCTGTTCACGTGACATATCATCGCGCGAAGCAACCTCCATTCTCTTTGGATCGAGAATTTCGGGAACACGTTCACTCATTTGTGCACTCCACTCATTTTTCGCTCTCGTTTCATCATTTGATCGTTCGCTTGGCTTTGCAGGGCTCGGCCGGCCATTCATGATGGTTTCAACACTATGTGTTGTTGTCACAGGAAAATTTGGCTTGACTCTGTCCGGTGTCTCGTTTGAAGGTGGAGAGCGACCTCTTTCGCTCTCTTCTCTTCGTCTATCTCGTTTTATTGCTTCTTCTCTTCTAGCATGTCGGTTCATTAACTCTTCACTGTATCTTAATCGCTTCTCATTTCTGTCACCATAAAATCTGTCACCTCGCTTCAAAAACTTCGCGTAAGCCAATTCGTCGCGGTCATTCGAATTCCTCGACTTGGTCTCTTCATTGTCCCTCACTTTTTCAGAAGAATCTTTCACCCCGTTTATCCCACCTTTATCCATTATTACCCTAGCATCATCCTTACATGTATCCATATATCCTCGTCTATCAACATCGCGTGCCCTCATATCCCTACGATGGGAACTCAGAGGATCATAAGCTTTACGAGGTGATAAATAGGAGTAACTAGGAGTACCATTGGTATAATGTGGATTATCAACACTTTTACCAGATAACGGCGAAGATGACACAAATGATTGATGACTAGTCTCTGAGGGTCGAGTAGTGACGTCATGACCACGTGATAAAATTGGAGGAGATCGTTCCTCAGATCGTCCAATTGGAAACTTGTTCGTACTGCTCGATACCATACCCTCGCGGTCATCTTTTCGTTGATAGTCCAGTTTAACTGATCTCTGATCAATGTTTCGACTACTCTCTTTGTTTGTTCTTTGTTCATTTGAAGTTTTTCCATTTTCAGTAGTTTCTTTAACGACACTTTTGATAACACTTTCTTTACGCATCGTCTCCGGTGCCTCCGTTCTCCACGTTTTCGGACTTCCGTCCCTCTTCGACGAACTGTAAGGCAATAAAATACACAGTGTTATAGTTCATTTAAAATTTTCGACAACTCGTCCCAATAGCGCTGAATGTTGAAGTGTTTTTCTACATGGTAATTCGGCCAGAAAGTTCCACCTACAAAAACCGGGTCTGAAATTTACATTTTTCTCAGCACCCCATTGGGATAACAGGATTTAAAGTTTTAGTATCCCATATCTCAGAATCCCATTTCTGGATACTGGTTACCATAAATGTTGGCATCCCTGAACCACCAAAGTTAATTTAGTTTATATTTCCTCCTATAGGAACACTGGATTACCCTTACTGGGAGGACAGTGTATGTGTAGAACTGATAGAGCTATCCAGGGTAAATAAAGTTAGTTTAATGCATTAACGCTGGATCTATAAGAAATGACCCTTATTGGATCTCTAGGGGGGCAGTTTAGAATTGATAAAGCTATCCAGTATAAATAAGTTAATCATTTAGTTTAGTTTCGAGGTTACCTCAAAGTCCTTACTATCCTTCCAGGGTTTACGACAACATGTACACATACCTTTCATTTCGATCACGTGTTTCGGATTCCGTGTCCCTGTATTCCTTGCGGTCTGTCTCGGCACCAGTCCGTTCTCTCTTTCCTGAGCCAGTAATCATTGGCTCTGCGTACACAGGGGGATTCCCTAGGGCAAACGGATGGGGAGGATACATAGAGGGGTAATAGAAGTGTGCTTCTGGTGGTAAAGCCATGTGAGGGAACATTGGCCCGTGGAACATTGCCCCTGCAAGTGGATGCTGCATTGGAAGGCCTGGAAACGATAAACAAAAAGGTTATATATACATCCGTTGTTCTTTAAATACATACATACATACATACATAATTCAGCTCACTCCCCCATCGGGGTTTTTTGAGTGACTGATTACATCAAGTATTACGCTTACATTATTTACTTGCCTACACCATAGATATCTTATATACACTAGATAGTGCATCTAATTATTCTGCAATTCAAAAATTGAAGCCGTGATTGCAGACTCAGGATATTCCCATGAAATGAGAAGACTCGTATGTTTTCTATTTCTTAAACAGGGAACTTAAACATTAAGTTAAACCTATTCCAAATATATTTTCAAACTGTTCAAATGATGAAGTTATTGTTGTTTTTAAGCGTTTATTAGCGAGTGGGAAACTCCAACATGGCCGCCATCTATTCAAATGGGGGTAACCGCTGGAATATTCTTGGCTTCAATTTTACTTAAGAGATGCGCTATCTAGTGTATATAAGATATCTATGGCCTACACGCGTAAAAATTGAGAAAATCAACAACTTGTTCCAGGTTGATATCGACAGGCGTGAACAAGGTTGTGCGGCCCACTATGAACAGTATTGTCAACATGTTGTTACAGCATTGTTCAACTGTAACAACTTGGAACAACATGGTTGACAACTTGTTCATAGTTGGCCGCACAACATTGTTCACGCCTGTCGATATCAACTTGCAACAACCTGTGCGTTTTTAGCCGTGTAGACTATTTATCGTTACAGTCCTTGTGTCGTGATATTACTTTCCTAACTATATGTTCATCTTCCTAACCCACTCTGTCAATTTCAATTATCTCTGTGGGAGAACACCACTTCAGTTTACAGCTAAAGGCCATGTTACACCACAGTTAATAGAATACATGGTTTGGAGACTTGATGAAAGTACAATATAACTCATTAACTATGTTGGTTTCGGTTTATGCAAGAATTTGGGCCTATCTCGTCACGTGTGTATTGTATTTTTTTCCCGCACAACCAATAGCAATGTTTAAATTGAGCATTTGTTCAAGTTACGGATGGATAACTCAATCACAAACTTGTTATTGGTTATTTGAGCGAAAATACAATACACACGTGACGAGATAGGACCAAATTCTTGCATAAAGCTGGACAATAACATAGTTAACTAGAGGGCACTCAGAGACTGCATACCTCCGCCCGTTAAGCCGGTTTTCCACTAGGCGCAATTTTGCGCGCGCAGCGGAAATTTTCTTTGTCTTTTCTAATTAGTTCCACCCGAGAAATCACAAGACAAAGAAAAATTCCGCTCCACGCGCAAAATTCCGCCTAGTGGAAAACCGGCTTTACTCGGAAGTGAAACGCAACCTTGGAATTTCCTAAGAAATCCACTTTATAATTCTTAAGCATAAAAGATTTCAGGCCCCCGCGAATTGAAATCGAATTGCTAATAGAACATATTACTGTTGTTGTACTGTACAGTACTTGTAAAATAAAAACTTATTAAGTGTCATTAAATAAATGCATAAGTTTTGCTTTATGCACTCGCGCGTGCAGTAATTTTCACAGTTGTGTTATTTTAAATTCCCAGGCAGCTAAAATCTTTTGTCTTTAAAACAATGTCGATTTCTTGGGAAATTCCGAGGTTGCGTTCTTTTTATACACCCTGTATTGAAGTAATCTAATGTTGTTAGAATTTGAATGGACTGGCACTTTGCTGAACGTAATAATGCGTAACTCCATAAGCCTTGTTTTAGACATTGAATTTCGGTCGCGTGAAATGCAACTAAGACAATAGATAATGAAGGCCGAAGCTTAATGAGGTTTATCATCTCATTATTGTCTTAGCACTGAGTGCATAAATTATACACGTCCTAATTACGCATTCAGTAATATTTTTTGTTAATTGACCGGGAAAAGCAAGACAAAATTTTGTTCATTTCTCGTTCAATTTTTAACCAAATTCAACCAAATTTTAATCAGTTCTTCCTTAGTCGATGGGAAATGCATTCAAAAAATTTCGTACGGATATGTTTGGTATTTCTTGAGTTATCGTGCTCACAGACAAACACACACACACACACACACACATACACATACACACACACACACATACAAACCCAGATGATTACATAACCTCCTGGCGGAGGTAATGAGTTATATTGTACTTTATACGAGTCTCCAAACCATCTATTAAAATAACTGACTGTGGGTACACGGTGGAATTTTTCTTGCAACTTGCAATGCAATTCTACTCTTGAGAGATGTAAAATTGCCAAATACGAGTCTTCATTACACTCCGCTGACCAGGTGATCTTGATACGCGGAAAAGTACTGGCACTAGTTGTCAAATAGAAATCCATTTTATGATTAAAACAACTGAATATCTCCTGCAATATACTTTATTTCGATTCCATATTTTTGTCAGAGCTATAGTTCTCATAACCAAATATAATTACAAAATTTCAACTAGTTTCATAAAGAATAACGAAAGATATAATTGACTGAATACATCAAAATGGATTTCTATTCGGACAGCCCTTTCTGAGCGCTGATTGGCTAAAATACGAACATGAGATCACCTGGGATGTTTTCTCAACATATCGAAAGTTCTTCACTGATTTCACTAATTAACATCTCTCAAGAGTAGAATTGCATTGAAAGTTGCAAGAAAAATTGCACCGTGTAACATGGCCTTAAAAATTGGGGAGCCTCGCAGTGCCACGGAAGGTCGTCTCCAATTGGATGGAGGTTTTCTAAAGAACGAAGCAATGTCATTGTTCTGAACACAAAAGCAATTGTCAAGTCGAACCAATGGAAAGCACTCTTCCGAGGCACTGCGAGGCTACCCTAAAAATTAAGTGTCCACAACATTTTTGCCATTTATGCCATACTTCGAGTCTTTTAGTTTTTAATCAGATTTTAACAATTTTACAATTAGAAATTAGGTTTTATTACGATATGTCATTACGAACTGCTTGAAATTATCTTTCCTTGCTTCGGCGAATAAAATTGGTGAGAGATATTTTATATACTTAGAATTACGGGTTGCGAAATATAGCAAAATAAACTAATTTGAAGTAGGCTATCACTAGTAATTTGTTCCTTATTAATGTATTCTTGTGATTTTTATGTGTAATCCCCCCCCCCGTTTTATTGCTCGAAGCGTTTCTTAAGAGACAATATTCTATATGACTTCCTTCCTCCTTTGAGTAGGCGAGATTTGAAGACTTCTTTCAATAAATCATTTCAAAGACAAATATACATTTGCTATGTGGCAGGAAAGACTATGTATTTTCAGGTAGATCAGACTCAAACAACGGCAGCTCATTGAAGAATACTATACAGACACTGGACCCCCATGTTTCAGATGTCTTTTTCAGGCACTACAGACACACACTATACTGCAGCTTATTGTAAAATACTACCGGCTACAATAGACCGCCACGTTTGGATATCTTTTTAGGTAGTTCAGACACAAACTAAGACAGCTCATAATCATTGAAGAATACTACCTATACACCGGACCCCAAGTTTGAGATAAAATTAACATAGAGTTGGTCTGAGCTAGACAAGCTAATGGGTTGTAAATTATTGATGTAAATTATCAACAGCGAATGGATGTGAATTAACCTTTATCACGGCCAATTTTTCCGCCATTCTTGCGGTACTGCCCCCCTCCCGCGTTTGAGAGTCTCCACACCACGAAATAGAAATTTTTAGTACTGTAGAGTGTAGGTGTTTGTATATGATGGTAAATTTACAGTTTCAACTTTTAAAAGTCGCTTTTCACGTTGTTTGAATTGTCTAGAATCTTTCACGAGGGCAGACAGTACCCCCAAAATGGCCCATGAGGAACTCTTAATTGGAAACAACAGGGAATATTTATCTTACGCAATAATTGCGATTATTTCAATGAAGTCGTCAAGTCTCGTGTGATGATTCAGCAACGATATCGTGATGAGAACTAAAAAGGCTATTGACGTCACCAGACATACATATAGTAAGAACCACAACATGATTTAAACTATGTTTGACCTATCGTCATGACCACGGTGTTATAATTTTGAACTAGCGCTTAATTTACACTATCAAAGTTTCTGTGATGACAGTAGGAATTTTGCATAAATAAATTCTAAGTTTTGAAGGATTTGTAAGAAATATTTAAGGGAACAGAGTAATTGTTAAACAAGGAGTCAGTTTCCTCAAACATTTCTTACAAATCCTTCAAAACCTAGAATTTACCTATGGCTATGGCTATGCAAAATTCCTACTGTTATCACAGAAACGTTTGACAGTGTAAACCTGCTTTTATATTTGCATATTAACCGACTTAAATCGTATATCGTGAACCTCAGGCTTATATATTATTCGTTCGTAAAATCCTTTTTTTTTTATTTATACACGTATAGGGGGTTTCGTGTTTGGCATTTTCGAGTCGGTACATGATAAGCGCCACGCTTGAAATAAGCCAAATTGTCAGAATTTTATTGTACGGTGGCAAACGTTTGCACGCACATGCATTATTTTTACCACAGCAGTAAACCCTTTCGCATGAATATTTTTCGCTCAGCATAATTTGACGCACGTGTAATAGTGAATACAGTCTGAGTAAATTCTAATACAGCGCGTGAACTCAAATACAGTATGTACTTTGCTCACATGGACAATTTTGACACAATCCTGCTTAAAACGAATGTAGACTTATGTAGTTGTAATTTTGAAATGGTCATGATGCTAATGAGCACAATGTTTTTCTTGAATATTTTGGAGAATACAATTAGATCAAGATATCAGATTAGAAAACTTCACATCTAATCATGTTATCAGCGAAAGCGGATCAGAAGGCATCTTTTTCATGTTTGAAATGACGCGTTAGGCATGTAACAGGCATTAAGCTATTAAATAGCAATCAAATAGAGGTACTATACGAGAAAATCACGCATCTCGGCAGAGCGGTGACGGATTCTTTACACAAGAATTGTCTTGGTTTGAGAGAGCATTCGACATTTTATTTTCTTCTTCTGGGGCCGGTTGTTCAAAAGTGGATTAGCGCTAACCCAGGGTTAAAATTTAACCCACTGTTTTAGTTTGCATATTTCTGCATGTCCATTTATTTCAAAAAGTCAGAAGAGAAAACTCCTATTGATCCAGACATGATTTGTGAAGAAATATTTCCAAATTTATAAACAAGCTGTTAGGAAGTGTACTTTGAATTTTAAGTTAACCTAGGGTTAAGCTAATCGGCTTTTGAACAACCGGCCCCAGATGTATGTGAACGAGTATATGCGCTATGAATGTTCTGAGTAGACAATGAAGTGGATGTGCCCTCATCTCAACATTCATAACTCAATCCACTCGAAGCATATATTCACGTCCACCAGAAGAAAGAAATCGCACATCTGATAAAGCACTCCTGCTCAGCGTTTTAATATTATCACAGCCATCAGGAAGCATGCCTGGTCGACTGCATATTGCCATTGTTAAAAATATTGGACTGTTCAACGGTTTTTAAACTCGAGAGTTCTGATCATTTGCCTTCCATATTGGGCAGTAGTCTGTCCATAATTGTTTTGAAGAGAGCCTTGCATATGTTTAAGACAAGTATGTCTGCACGAGATTTGAAAATATATTGACTTCGAGCCTGGTTTCCATATGGTCGTAAAAATACAGTCACGATCTTTCTCAACGGCCAGTTTATAATAGTTTAGACCTGTAAATCACATATAAATCATAAGTTATTCTCTAGTTATAATCACTCCGCGTATTTTCAGTTCTGACTAAAATGTTGTATTTCGGCTGATGAGAAAGATCGTGACTCAATCTTTACGACCGTTACAACCATATGAAAACCAGACTTTAGTTTACGTCAGGCTCACACTCAAAGAGTGGATGTTTATTCGGAGCTTCCCTTGAGTGTCAATGTTGTTTTTCAATAGCTGGAGGGTTAGTGTCGTACATTACTATGTGGCAACTCACCCTCCAGCTATTTATTTAAAAAACAGCATTGACATTCAAGGGAAGCTCCACCTGAACCTCTACTCTTTAAGTGTGAGTGAGCTTTTAGAATACAGGCGTACGAGTGAGTTACTATTGCAAGGTCAAGGAATTAGGAAAGTGCTGCCTTTTTGCCACATGAACTGAATGCAAAATTAACTTGTACACAGTAGTTATACACATACTATGTTTATACTTCTAGACAATTCTCTATAAAAGGGAAGTTTACTTTTGATCCAATGGCCTCATTTCCATGTTACATCATTGGTAGCATGGCAGGCCTGCACATCAGCACATGAATGTTATATCCCCTGCAGGTATGTTTCCTGCACACATTTGCTCATAAAATAGTCATTTCATTCCCATGTACTGTTATATAGACTCAATTATTTTAATAGGTGCCTCGGTGGTCCCTCTCTGGACAGTTCAAGAAAGGCCTGGTTGGCTGAAGATTCAAATTTGGTCAAGGGCAGTCCTTACTGGACCTCTATACTATAGGAAGAACAGTTCAGAACTGATAGATCTACTATATCACTTTCAAACGTTATTGGGACATTATAAGTAGATCTATATATAGAGTTTGTTACACTCGTTTATCTCCCCCCCCCAAGCAATGTTGTTTTCCCAATTCGGACACGATAGCGCATCAAGATAAGATGATAACCGGTACACAACCTTCAACAGGGGCGGGGGGTCGACGTTTGTTAAAATTATATAGTATTTGGGGCATCTATCCCAACACATTTGAAAATAATTGTAACATAAACTATATGGATATAAAGAGTTTTAATAATGTGTGGTTATAAGTAAAGTTTGCTTAATTTAATTCTCAGATGTACCAAGATTGGATCAATAAGGGATGATAACCTCTGTGGAATTCTATGGAGAACAGTTTAGAACTAGAAGTTATTGTCTCAAGGGGGTAATGCTGCCGTATGGCCACTTCAGACTGTGCACTTCGCCCCAAAATTTTAATTCTATGTCAACAGAAATCGTGTTATACTTAATTAAATAGTTTAGTTTTGCTCGTTAAATTATCACTTGACTATAATAGGAGATGACCCTGATTGAACCCGTAGGGCAACAGAGCCATCCAAGTATAAAGCGAGTTTAATTAGTTTATGTAGCAATTAGGAAATTAAGACCACTATTAGTATGGGGTAGAAATATTGTCACATTGACGCATGCAAGGTCAAGCAATGGTCAAGCTTATATGGAGAGATTATGATTAAGTCGTGAAGACCTCAACATTCTGATGATGCATGTAGTACTTAGGCCGAATCACTCATCCGGCTTCGTTAACCTTTGCTCTGCTACAACAAACATGTGCTGTACGAAAGTCCACACAGTATATGGTGGGTATGTGTCCAGTCAAGTACCACAATACAAGGCCAGCCTGTTTTGATACAAGTTGTGAATGGAATTGCGCATATTTGGATATAAGTGGTGAATGGAATTACAATTCTAAGGACATGTGGCCACGAGAATATACGTGTTATTCAGAAAGTTATACATATAATGATAAACTTAAGATCAAAATTTTGGAAAAGTGGTAACCATTTCCCATTTGTAATCTAAAATGACTGAAAATTGCAAATTTCGCAAGGCTATATTATCCGCATTTTACAACATTTTGCAACGAAACTTTGGAATATTACTAATTTTGTGATGCTCTTTCATGCTATGATGGAATTTTGTCTAGACTTGTTGAGATCAAAATTTTGGTTAATTGGGGAATGGTCCATTTGGAGACGTTAAGGTCGGTGGTTTACACTTGCAATTTTTGCTGCGATTTTAGGTGCCTTCTTCTGATGGATGTAAACGAGTGGATGAGTTCTGAATGTTTAGATGAGGGTATATACACTCAGAACATTCATAATCTATCCACTCGTTCACATCCCACCAGAAGAAGGAACTCGCACTAGAAATCAAAATTGCAAGTGTAAACAGGCCTTTAAGTATACGAGCTTTCACCTGCGCTTTTGCGTTTTTAATCTTAATCTAATCCATTTTCCAAATCTGAAAGGGCTGGAATTCCCTCCCTCAAATCCATCCGGATAGCTCTATCAGTTCTGCAATACAGCGTTTATACTACCATAGATATCTTATATAAACTAGATAGCGCATCTCTTTTAATAAAATTGAAGCCAAGAATATTCCAGCGGTTACCCCCGTTTGAATAGATGGCGGGGATGCTGGTGTTTCCCACTCGCTAATAAACGCTTAAAAAACAACAATAACTTTCATCATTTGAAATATTTTGAATAGTTTGAAAATGTATTTGGAATAGGTCTGGAATAACTTATTAAATGTTTAAGTTCCCTGTTTAAGAACTAGAAAACATACGAGTCTTCTCATTTCATGGGAATATCCTGAGTCTGCAATCACGGCTTCAATTTTTGAATTGCAGAAATCCAGAATATAAATTAGATGGTTACTACAGGAGGAAATCGAAAATAAATTTTATTTATATATCAGTCTTCAAATATTTTCCTAGTAACGTTCCATCCGTTGTTGATCCAAGCAGTGCTCCTATAGATGTAATAAGACTAAACCGGAGCCTAGCGCGTTTGCGCATTCTGGAGACATCCATTCAATGGATAGCCTGAACAAAACATAGCTAAGTAAAACGTATACCGGATTATGCCTGTCGAATTCACACTAAATCTTCGTAAATCTGGCTCACCTCACTAATTTTTGAAAACGTACAGTCGTATATAGTTTCTCACGTGAAAACATTAAATATATTGGCGTATTGAATAAAAAAACTCTTCGCGTATAATTCGGTAACAATTGTTTGAATACAGACAGCATTAACATATGTGTTTAAATTTAATTGTAGTACCTGTTGCGGTTGTGTTTATATTGATTGCGCAACGTCGTTTTAATTAAATTTCATTTCTTTTTGAAAACTAATTCCCCTTTGGCTTTGTCAGATAAAATATTAAAATTTATTGTGGTATACTTTCCCACAGATATGAAGTGATACTCAAATGCATAGTTCGTCGAGATAAACAAAATATATTGAATTGCAGACTAAATATATGATATTTCAAACGTACCGGTCCAAGTTAGATTCTACATTAAATTAAACGTGGATTCTGTCTGAACTATAGTCTATATCTGAAAAAGACATCTCAAACGTGGGGATCAAATGTACGTAGTATTCTACAATAAGCTGCTGTGGTTTGTGTCTGAACTCTGAACTACCTGAAAAAGACATCTCAAACGTGCTGGTCTAGTGTAGGTAGTATTCTACAATAAGCTGCCGTGGTTTGTGTCTGAACTTCCTGAAAAAGATGTCTCAAACGTGGTGGTCCAGTGTAGGTAGTATTCTACAATAAGCTGCCGTGGTTTGTGTCTGAACCACCTGAAAAAGACATCTCAAACGTGCTGGTCTAGTGTAGGTAGTATTCTACAATAAGCTGCCGTGGTTTGTGTCTGAACCACCTGAAAAAGACATCTCAAACGTGGTGGTCCAGTGTAGGTAGTATTCTACAATAAGCTGTCGTGGTTTGTGTCTGAACTACCTGAAAAAGATATCTCAAACGTGGTGGTCCAGTGTAGGTAGTATTCTACAATAAGCTGTCGTGGTTTGTGTCTGAACTACCTGAAAAAGATATCTCAAATGTGGTGGTCCAGTGTAGTTAAGACACAAGGCCACAGCTTATTGTGATGTTAAGTTCGGCATTCCCTCACCTCAGGCATCAGTTTCATTATTTTCTGATCATACCAATGAACAATGACCTGATGTTCTGAAAGCCAACGTTTGAAATAACTCAATGTTTGAGGCTTCATGTTCACACGGTGATCCATAAATTTATCATTACTGATCATTTTAACTTCGTTATCCTCACGACACAAATGCAACGCTGCATTGATCAGGAAAAGATCATCTATACCGCTAAAGAAAAATAAGAAAACATAGTTTCCTAGCCATGTTTCCTGAAGATGGGCAAACCACTTTGAAAACCAAGTTCTAGCATTTGAAAAGGGAGTTCTGGCATTTGAAAAGGGAGTTCTGGCATTTGAAAAGGGAGTTCTGGCATTTGAAAAGGGAGTTCTGGCATTTGAAAAGGGAGTTCTGGCATTTGGAAAGGGAGTTCTGGCATTTGAAAAGGGAGTTCTGGCATTTGAAAAGGGAGTTCTGGCATTTGAAAAGGGAGCTCTGGCATTTGAAAAGGGAGTTCTGGCATTTGAAAAATGAGTTTTGCCATTTGAAAATGGAGTTTTGCCATTTAAAAATGGAGTTCTGGCATTTGAAAAGGGAGTTCTGCCATTTGTAAAGGGTGTTCTGGCATTTGAAAAGGGAGTTCAGGCATTTGAAAATGGAGTTCTGCTATTTGAAAAGGGAGCTCTGCTATTTGAAAAAGGAGTTCTAGCATTTGAAAAGGGAGTTCTTGTGTTTCAACCAGGAAACATTGTTTCCTAACCATGTTTCTTGTAAGGTGGACAAAGTGACAAACCACAAAACGTGAACTTTCAATACTTGTGACTTTCATTACCTTTTGTTGTGCTTAACAAAATAAATGGTTGAAATGCTTCTAAGATATGCTATTGCTTCCCAATGGTCTGCAGTGGAAATTGCCTTAGATCGTTTTGGTTGAATTAACTGATTCGCTGCAATGACCAGAACTTTTTGCTCTTGGGTTGAATAACTTTCCACTAATTTGAACAGCTGGTAAAAAGAGAAGCATGGTCAAGAAAGGAATATCTTGGTTACTTGATACTGTAAACCTCCAAATATAAGCCCCCCCCCCTCCTCCCCTGTGTATGAGCCCACCACACATACTAATGCTCACCTCATTCCAAATATAAGGCCGCCTGAATA